GGGGGAGTATCAGAGGTGCAGGTCAAGATTGGGGTTCTAGACCAGGGTTTCTCATCCTCAGCACCATGGATAATCCTTTGTTACAGCAGCTGTTCTGTGCATTGCAGGATGTTTAGCAGCATCCTGGGCCTGTACCCACTAAGTGCCAATAGCAGTGCTCCCCTCGCCCCCTCTAGTCGTGACAACCAAAAAATGTCTGCAGACATTAGCAACATTTGCTGGGAGCAAACTCGTGCCTGACCGGGATCTGCTGCTCCAGACCCACACCAGCTGGACTCACACTTCGGCTTTCCCACTTGCCAACTGTGTGACACTGGCTTCCCTGTGCCTCAGTTTCCTCATCTGTACAATGAGGGTAACATTAGCATCCATCTCACAGGGTCATTGCGAGGATCACAGGAGTATAAAGTAGGTAAATGCATGTCTGGCACAAGTAAGCACAAAAAGGTGCCTCATTTTATAGGTGATGGGTGCCCTGGTGCCAAACCAGTGAGGAGAAAGCTTTTTTATCTTGATGCATGAATTCTACCTCAAAGACTATCCCAAAGAAATAACCAAACATGTGGACAAACATCTATAGGAAGATTTTAATAAAAAATTATTTATAAAAGCAAAATTTTAAAAAAACTGAAAACAGGGGCCGGCCCGGTGGCGCACTGCTATAGTGCGCCGCTTGGGAAGTGCGGTGGCACTCCCGCCGAGGGTTCGGATCCCACATACAGACCGGTTCCCGCTCACTGGCTGAGCGAGGCACAGGAGCGACACCGAGGGTTGCGATCCCGTTGCCGGTCCCGGTCCGGTACGGGGGCGACACTGAAGGTTGCAATCCGTTGCCGGACACGGAAAAAGACAAAAAGGAAAAAAAAAAAAAAAAAACTGAAAACAACTCAAAGATTTAACAGCAGCGGGGTGAAGGGTATTAAATATATAATGATAGTCCATATAACACAATGATACCCAGCCTTTAGATGTCCTGTTTGAAACTATTTAATAATATAGGGAACTACTGTAACACAATGTTAAGTGACAAAATCTACACAAAACTATATGAACAGCATAAGTCTAAACTTTGTTTGTAAAATAAAATGTCAGCACTGGTTATCTCTGTGTGGTGAGAGTACAGGTGAATTTTATGTTTTATTTCTAAAATTTCTACAATAAACCTGCATTTATTTAAACAATGAGAAAACTGAGAGTTATAAGAATCTGTGTCCCTTCAAAATACAGATGGGAGATTTATTTATTTATTTTTATTTTTATTTTTTCGTGTCCGGCAACGGATCGCAACCCTCAGTGTCGCGCCCGTACCGGACCGG